TCTTGCATTGAGGGAGTACTTGAGTGGAGGCCCAATGTCCATCTGCTAACTTCATACTAAACCTATAAATATATGTACATAGATCTATTTCCATATTTCATTTCATTTTTTAAAAGTTATAGTGGCCCTTAATTCACATATCATACAATTCAAGAGTCCAAACATATATTTCATTACTTCCTCTTTCCCCCACCCAAAATCATTGTATTGGGAGCTAGTAGCATTCCAGAGTTCAATCCCATTAAACAGTATTGTACAATTCCCACCACACCCAATTCCAAGACCTTCTTTTCCTTCTTGCACTCCTGGCTATCAGCTCACCTTAACCCTCCCTCCACTACACTACCTCCCAGGAACCTTGATTCTCCTTGCTGTCTCTATAGGTCATCAATCCTGGGTTTCATGTACTGAAAAATATATAACAAAAATCCAAGAGTGCTACTACCCCCATGGACAAAACGCATCAGAAATAAACCCCAACATGAGAAAGAAATTTTAAAAGAAACAGAAAAAAAATTCTCACTTCTTTGATATTTATTCATGATTCCATTTTATTTAGTATTTCACTTATTTAAATTTTTTAAGGGAAACATTTTTTGTAGCACCCTCCCATGGTTTATCCAAAAGTGGAATCAGGTTCTCTTTTTCTGACTTCTGTGTTCTCAGCCACACCCATTCCCCCATGCTATGCAGACACCTTGCTTCAGTTTCAGGCTCTCAAATACACCACATTCCTGTACCACCAAGAGCTTCCTCCGACACTGAGCTCTCCTCCACTCCCCATCTGCTCAGCGGAGGTGACACACCCCTTAGGTCTCAACTCCCCCTCCCACCCCCACACACCATGTGCCTGATCTCACCCCTAAGCACACTTGGCACAGTGTATATGTAAATTTCAACAATGACAGGAGATCAGAGTCTGTTGCGTCTCCTACACATCAGCTCCAAGAGGGCAGGGATCATCTGTCTGAGCTCCACACATGAGTGGTACCTGGAAAGAATGAGCAAACCAGTAGACAGAGAGGGAACAGAGTCATAAGAGGTGATAAGAATGGGCGAGTGGGTAAGCGATTGATGGGGGGGCGAATAAGTAAAGGAGCCCTGGGGTGACTGAATCAGTGCGTGAGCGAATGGGTGGAGTGCCTTGAAGAATAAATGAATTCATGAGTGGGTGAATCCGTGGAAGCAGCCAGATCAGTTAGGAGACCAGCACCAGTCCTGACTTGTGCCCATTGGATTTTGTTAACTTAGACACAACCTTCCTGTTTCATGGTTTCTGCCCCCTCTCTCCCTGGGCCTCCCCAGCCAAGTTGAGACAGTCTGGGGTTTTACAAGAGCCTTAGTAACAAGAAAATGTAAATACACAGGGAAACCAAGAAGCAATTGCCCAACACAGCACTCGCACTACCAGAGGGGAGAAAGTCTTTCCTTGTTGGGGGTCCTCTGGGAACCAACCTGTACTCAGTGCCTGACCTGCACTTTGGATCCCACAAGAGCTTAGCAGACTCCTCCCTGACCACACACAATCTGCGTGGCGACTAGTCCCAGCCTCAGACTCATTCCTTCCATCCCATACTCCTCCTTGTCTTGCTAGACGTCCTCACAGATCCCCTGTCCGAGTCCCATCTTCTATCTCTGTCCCCTGGAGAGTGGTCACAGGCAGAGGCACGCCTGGCATGTGGCATGGTTTAGTACCACCCACACTTCCTGTGTGACCCCGATCAAGGCACAAGCATGGGGACCACCAGTGGACACATCTGAAGATGTGGACTGAGAGGGAGAGTCTCATGGGGCTGATGGAAATGGTCTAATCTTCTGTTCAATTGCATGGGATGCAAACCATCTGCCAATAAAAGCGCTAGGAAAGCCATGTGCTCAGCTTGCCTGGTGGCGATGAGCATGGACTACACTGCCATGCACATCCCTACAAAGGCACGGCAGGCCCTGCAGCTACAGCGGGGTGGATTCCGCGGGGTGGTGATTTCCTCGTGTGTGAACCTGAGGTGTCTGCTCTGCTTCCCTCCAGGCGGCCCCGACACACCCTCCATCTCAGTGGAGCCAGACTCCGAGGTTCCCTCCGGGAGCTGGGTGACCTTCATCTGCCGGGGCACACACTGGACTGCCATCCGACTGGAGAAATCTGAACCAGATGGGTCATACTGGGATAAGAAGAATAACCTTTTGAGGAGTGAAACAGAGGCCATATTCCACTTCCCCTTCGTGAGCAAAAACACTGCAGGGAGGTATAAGTGCATCTCTTACGATGGGACCAGGTATTCTCAACGTAGTGAGAGCCTGGAACTGAAAGTGACAGGTGAGCCACAGTCAGCAGCCCTCCCATCTGAGCTCAAGTTTGTGCCCAGGTGCCTGGGTGCTGCCCCCAGTGACATCATCTCTCCACAGTGTCCCTGCCCTCTGCTCCCACGTCCTCCAGCCTCCTCTCTCCCTCAGCACATTGACCCCTTTGCCTTCAGACACCACTGATGTCCCTAGAGACCTGGG